AGGCAGCCACATTACAATTTAAATCCCCCAAAATATTTACCTCTAGCCCCAGCGATTCGATTCGCTAAACGAGAAGTTTAAAATCCTTCATTGCGTCTACATTAGAACGTGTTGGTCTATACCACGTACTCACAATAAAAGATTTAGCTTTGGGTTTGATTACCTTAATGTCAATCCACTCGAGGCTTTCCACTCGAAATCAAATAAACGTTCATAATTGATAGTATTCCGGATATAAAGCGCGACACCCCCCGCCCGTCTCTGTTTCTATCATTTTTCTCCAGGGCATAGCCTGGTACTGTAACTTCGCCACTAGATATAGTATCATCGAGACCAGTTTCATTAACCGCAAGAATATCAGTACATTTCAAATTCATATAAATCCGCAATTCCTCGATATGGCCGGGAATACTAGTAATGTCAAGGGCACCTAACTTAAAACCCCTACTTTTGGATAATTCACTTAACAGATCAGCATTTAACGGAGACGAGCCGTATGTGAAATGACCCCCTGAATCTAACTTGCCGACGAAGTCCGAATTATCTTGTTCAGAGTTTGTGCTAGCAACCAAAGAGGGTCCGGCTTTCGCTTGTTTTCTCCTGCTTTGATCTTTGCTTTCAATGCCTGCCTTATAAAATTCGAGGCTAGAAGTTTCACGCCGTCACCGTTCAAGTGGATACCTTTGTTCTTTAGGTGTTCAACTTTGATGCGGATATTATCAATAAACAACCAGCCCCTGGAGGCGCAGACATCTTTCATCGTGTGATTTATATGCATAATCTTCTCATTTGTATTTTCGTCTCTCTGGCTTATTAACCCCGAAACCGAGACACCTTGATCGAAGGTCTTATTTTAATCGCTTCCTCTGCCACTTCAGTTAAACCCTTTATTACATCTTCAGGCTGATATTCATTCAAATCGTTCGTTTCAGCGTTAATTATGACACTGTCATAAGCAGTGTGCTGCAGCGCAGTAATGAGCTGATCTTTAATTGCAGTTATTTTGGCGCTCCTCGAACAAATCCTTCTTAACAGACTGAGACTTGGAGAGTTTTTGCTCTTCAATCGCTTTAATCATAGAATCACCGATCAACCAATATCTTTAGTGTTCTTAATATTGTCAGGTAATTACCTGATTGTTCAGCTGAGTGTTCTTTTGTTTGAGGAGAGGCATGAGCTGCTTCTTTATTTTCATCAGGTTTATCATAGATTTTGTTCGAACTCAGACTGGAGGTTGATTGTTTTGCTCTTTTCGATGATTTGGCTTGAGTCCATTCCCTGTCAGCTTGTACATTAATTTCGGGAGCTGTGTGTTTTGTTTCATTTGGAATTTCGCTACCAAGCGATCGTAGGGCCGTCAATAAGCTTTTGTTTTCATCTAAAAAAAAAGGCTTAAAGCCTTTCATTAAAACATAAATATGACTTCATGGATCAAATATATCGTCAAAGTAAAGGCTAACAAGAGATGGAGATAAAACACACATATCGGAAAACATCTCCATGCCATCTGTAGCCTGCGTCGCAGACGTTATTTTAGTTCAGCTTTTGACACCGTAAATCATGATATCATGATTCGACTTGAGATGTCTTTTGGAATCATAGGCACAGCACTACAGTGGCTGAGGTTATATTTGTCTGGTCGCTCACAACATGTCATCGTAAATGGAAAACAGTCGGGGAGCGTGAAACTGCCTTTTGGCGTACCACAAGGTTCTTGTTTAGGGCCTTTACTTTTCACCCTGTACTCTAGTAAGTTATTTGAGGAAATAAAACCTCATTTACCTGAAGCGCATACATACGCTGACGATTGTGTACTTTATCTATCGTTCGAGCCTAATGAAGTGAATTAATCGGAAGCCATTAAGTCAATGGAGCTTTGTATCAGAACGCTTAGATGTAGATTGACAATCTTAAACTTAATGATGATAAAACAGAATTTATGATCACTGGAAGTAGGCAACAACTTGAAGGGGTTAGTGTCGCAGAATTATCTGTTGCTGACATCAGCGTTGTACTGCACGAAATCTTAGAGTTCTGTTTGATCGAAGTCTGAAGTTTGATGCTCAAATTACAAAAACATGTTGTACAGGTTACTACTATATAAGAAAGATCAGGAAATACTTAACATTGGATTCAACCAGATGTTTGGTTCATGCACTGGTAATGGGGCCCGTCGATTACTGTAATAGTTTACTCTACTGTCTCTCATGAAATAATATCAATGAGCTACAGTGTCTTCAGAATATGGCTGAGAGGTTAATAACAAATACTCCGCGCGGTTTTGTCACATCACACCTGTATTGTGTCACCACTAAATCTTGTGTGACCACTAAATCTTCGTATTTTGAGTGGTCGCTTAAGGGAGGCCCGACTGTAGTCAATAAATCTAACAATAAACACTTAATGACTAGTTCGAAGGGAACAGGCAATTTTCTTTCTCGAGAATCGCAATGTTTCCCGAGGCGGAGCGCTGGAAATTTTGAGACTGGAAATTTAATAAACCTCGCTGTAACGGCGGTCGTTGGTCAACATTCGCGGGACACATTGCACTGTTACCCTTTGACTTAATAGATTTTACAATGTTGCCCTCTCAGAGATTTTGGCGGGAAAAAAGTTTCATCGTTAGATGTCATGAGACCTGTAAGTAACCAATGAGAGCACGCGATGTGGCAGAAAATTCTCCAGCTATGTAACAATCTAATTTGGCGATGAACATAAAAGTTCTCTCATGGTATCCTTCACAGATTGCCTTACTTCTCTAATCTTCCAACAGTACAGCGACGAGTTTAAAGAGGAGTTTAAAAGAACTAAAGTACCGGTAAATTCCTTTGCAAGGTAAACCGATAGTGGCATCCCTCGTTGAGGTGTCAAAGCTTGGGTTATAAGAAACGGCAGGTAACAAACAACCAATGTCATCTGCACTCCCAATGCAGCTGACACTGCCTTTCTGTATCTCGCTATGTTGAGCGGAACTGGTTGGTTCTGCTGTCTTTTAGGAAAGTGGTCCAGCACTTAGATTTGGATATGACGCAAAATGAAGAAAATCTTCACGTAACAGACAAATGAGGTGAGGAGACAAACAGGCACGGCTACCTTGATGCACCATGACATCACAATAGGATCCCAAAGGTAAGCCAATATACCCAAAATGTGCAAAATCCAAGCAACAATTAGGGTCATGAGTGTTCTTTTTAAAGTTACAACTTGTCTGTATCTTAGCCCCAGTAACAGGGCGAGAAGTCTGTCCACGCTTATTACAGTCATTGTTCATAAAGACACCACACTAAAAACATAGCCTGTGAAAAAAGTTAACAAATCCGCCAAGGGAAAGATTAGCTCATGTTTTACCTCTCCAGTTAACTCGGCCGTGCACAGCGGTTCGCTGCTCAATTTCTCCAGGCTTTTATTTTCTGCAAAATTTGTTGCTTGAGCCATTTCTCTGTAGCAGGAGCCGTTGAGAGTAAGCTGTCTGTTAAAAAAAAAATCAAGATTTTTTCCTCGTAATGAGGAAAGGACATTGATTGTCACTTCTGATATGGGCTTCCTTACAGTTAGTAATTTCTATGCTGTTTATTTACCGTGAAAAAAATCCGGTCGCTTCCGTTTTTATTGCATGAATGGATGAGCCCATAACCCGAAGCGAACAACTTCCATGCGCTCGTTTCACGGCGTTTTCACGGACCAGTTTATTTTTAGGACGGTTTTGGTGAGAATTTTACTTTTCACCCTGTACTCTAGTAAGTTATTTGAGGAAATAAAACCTCATTTACCTGAAGCGCATACATACGCTGACGATTGTGTACTTTATCTATCGTTCGAGCCTAATGAAGTGAATTAATCGGAAGCCATTAAGTCAATGGAGCTTTGTATCAGAACGCTTAGATGTAGATTGACAATCTTAAACTTAATGATGATAAAACAGAATTTATGATCACTGGAAGTAGGCAACAACTTGAAGGGGTTAGTGTCGCAGAATTATCTGTTGCTGACATCAGCGTTGTACTGCACGAAATCTTAGAGTTCTGTTTGATCGAAGTCTGAAGTTTGATGCTCAAATTACAAAAACATGTTGTACAGGTTACTACTATATAAGAAAGATCAGGAAATACTTAACATTGGATTCAACCAGATGTTTGGTTCATGCACTGGTAATGGGGCCCGTCGATTACTGTAATAGTTTACTCTACCGTCTCTCATGAAATAATATCAATGAGCTACAGTGTCTTCAGAATATGGCTGAGAGGTTAATAACAAATACTCCGCGCGGTTTTGTCACATCACACCTGTATTGTGTCACCACTAAATCTTGTGTGACCACTAAATCTTCGTATTTTGAGTGGTCGCTTAAGGGAGGCCCGACTGTAGTCAATAAATCTAACAATAAACACTTAATGACTAGTTCGAAGGGAACAGGCAATTTTCTTTCTCGAGAATCGCAATGTTTCCCGAGGCGGAGCCCTGGAAATTTTGAGACTGGAAATTTAATAAACCTCGCTGTAACGGCGGTCGTTGGTCAACATTCGCGGGACACATTGCACTGTTACCCTTTGACTTAATAGATTTTACAATGTTGCCCTCTCAGAGATTTTGGCGGGAAAAAAGTTTCATCGTTAGATGTCATGAGACCTGTAAGTAACCAATGAGAGCACGCGATGTGGCAGAAAATTCTCCAGCTATGTAACAATCTAATTTGGCGATGAACATAAAAGTTCTCTCATGGTATCCTTCACAGATTGCCTTACTTCTCTAATCTTCCAACAGTACAGCGACGAGTTTAAAGAGGAGTTTAAAAGAACTAAAGTACCGGTAAATTCCTTTGCAAGGTAAACCGATAGTGGCATCCCTCGTTGAGGTGTCAAAGCTTGGGTTATAAGAAACGGCAGGTAACAAACAACCAATGTCATCTGCACTCCCAATGCAGCTGACACTGCCTTTCTGTATCTCGCTATGTTGAGCGGAACTGGTTGGTTCTGCTGTCTTTTAGGAAAGTGGTCCAGCACTTAGATTTGGATATGACGCAAAATGAAGAAAATCTTCACGTAACAGACAAATGAGGTGAGGAGACAAACAGGCACGGCTACCTTGATGCACCATGACATCACAATAGGATCCCAAAGGTAAGCCAATATACCCAAAATGTGCAAAATCCAAGCAACAATTAGGATCATGAGTGTTCTTTTTAAAGTTGCAACTTGTCTGTATCTCAGCCCCAGTAACAGGGCGAGAAGTCTGTCCACGCTTATTACAGTCATTGTTAATAAAGACACCACACTAAAAACATAGCCTGTGAAAAAAGTTAACAAATCCGTCAAGAGAAAGATTAGCTCATGTTTTACTTCTCCAGTTAACTCGGCCGTGCACAGCGGTTCGTTGTTCAATTTCTCCAGGCTTTTATTTTCTGCAAAATTTGTTACTTGAGCCATTTCTCTGTAGCAGGAGCCGTTGAGAGTAAGCTGTCTGTTAAAAAAAAAAAAATCAAGATTTTTTCCTCGTAATGAGGAAAGGACATTGATTGTCACTTCTGATATGGGCTTCCTTACAGTTAGCAATTTCTATGCTGTTTATTTACCGTTAAAAAAATCCGGTCGCTTGCGTTTTTTATTGCATGAATGGATGAGCCCATAACCCGAAGCGAACAACTTCCATGCGCTCGTTTCACGGCGTTTTCACGGACCAGTTTATTTTTAGGACGGTTTTGGTGAGAATTTTACTTTTCACCCTGTACTCTAGTAAGTTATTTGAGGAAATAAAACCTCATTTACCTGAAGCGCATACATACGCTGACGATTGTGTACTTTATCTATCGTTCGAGCCTAATGAAGTGAATTAATCGGAAGCCATTAAGTCAATGGAGCTTTGTATCAGAACGCTTAGATGTAGATTGACAATCTTAAACTTAATGATGATAAAACAGAATTTATGATCACTGGAAGTAGGCAACAACTTGAAGGGGTTAGTGTCGCAGAATTATCTGTTGCTGACATCAGCGTTGTACTGCACGAAATCTTAGAGTTCTGTTTGATCGAAGTCTGAAGTTTGATGCTCAAATTACAAAAACATGTTGTACAGGTTACTACTATATAAGAAAGATCAGGAAATACTTAACATTGGATTCAACCAGATGTTTGGTTCATGCACTGGTAATGGGGCCCGTCGATTACTGTAATAGTTTACTCTACCGTCTCTCATGAAATAATATCAATGAGCTACAGTGTCTTCAGAATATGGCTGAGAGGTTAATAACAAATACTCCGCGCGGTTTTGTCACATCACACCTGTATTGTGTCACCACTAAATCTTGTGTGACCACTAAATCTTCGTATTTTGAGTGGTCGCTTAAGGGAGGCCCGACTGTAGTCAATAAATCTAACAATAAACACTTAATGACTAGTTCGAAGGGAACAGGCAATTTTCTTTCTCGAGAATCGCAATGTTTCCCGAGGCGGAGCCCTGGAAATTTTGAGACTGGAAATTTAATAAACCTCGCTGTAACGGCGGTCGTTGGTCAACATTCGCGGGACACATTGCACTGTTACCCTTTGACTTAATAGATTTTACAATGTTGCCCTCTCAGAGATTTTGGCGGGAAAAAAGTTTCATCGTTAGATGTCATGAGACCTGTAAGTAACCAATGAGAGCACGCGATGTGGCAGAAAATTCTCCAGCTATGTAACAATCTAATTTGGCGATGAACATAAAAGTTCTCTCATGGTATCCTTCACAGATTGCCTTACTTCTCTAATCTTCCAACAGTACAGCGACGAGTTTAAAGAGGAGTTTAAAAGAACTAAAGTACCGGTAAATTCCTTTGCAAGGTAAACCGATAGTGGCATCCCTCGTTGAGGTGTCAAAGCTTGGGTTATAAGAAACGGCAGGTAACAAACAACCAATGTCATCTGCACTCCCAATGCAGCTGACACTGCCTTTCTGTATCTCGCTATGTTGAGCGGAACTGGTTGGTTCTGCTGTCTTTTAGGAAAGTGGTCCAGCACTTAGATTTGGATATGACGCAAAATGAAGAAAATCTTCACGTAACAGACAAATGAGGTGAGGAGACAAACAGGCACGGCTACCTTGATGCACCATGACATCACAATAGGATCCCAAAGGTAAGCCAATATACCCAAAATGTGCAAAAATCCAAGCAACAATTAGGATCATGAGTGTTCTTTTTAAAGTTGCAACTTGTCTGTATCTCAGCCCCAGTAACAGGGCGAGAAGTCTGTCCACGCTTATTACAGTCATTGTTAATAAAGACACCACACTAAAAACATAGCCTGTGAAAAAAAGTTAACAAATCCGTCAAGAGAAAGATTAGCTCATGTTTTACTTCTCCAGTTAACTCGGCCGTGCACAGCGGTTCGTTGTTCAATTTCTCCAGGCTTTTATTTTCTGCAAAATTTGTTACTTGAGCCATTTCTCTGTAGCAGGAGCCGTTGAGAGTAAGCTGTCTGTTAAAAAAAAAAAAATCAAGATTTTTTCCTCGTAATGAGGAAAGGACAGTGATTGTCACTTCTGATATGGGCTTCCTTACAGTTAGCAATTTCTATGCTGTTTATTTACCGTTAAAAAAATCCGGTCGCTTGCGTTTTTTATTGCATGAATGGATGAGCCCATAACCCGAAGCGAACAACTTCCATGCGCTCGTTTCACGGCGTTTTCACGGACCAGTTTATTTTTAGAACGGTTTTGGTGAGAATTTTGAATGTCTTTTAAAGTTCACAAGTCAACAAAACCTACAGACCAAAAAATGATATCTTCTGCCTTTTAATAACTTTTAGTTTTCCTTTATGATATCGTATACTTCGAATGCGCTGATAGACATGGTGGAGATTCTATTTTCGGGGGAAAAAGTGCCCTAAACTGTGTCTAAAAATAAACTAGTCCGAAAAAACGCCGTGATATTGGCCAAGTATGGGAATTGCTCGCTCCGGGTTGTGGGCTCCTGATGAATGGAGGATTTTGATAATATATCACGAAACTCCATGTAAACATTAAGGACAGCAACAATTACTGCAGAGTTTAGTTTCATGGAATTTTCCCCATTTATTATTTATTTTTAGAGCGAAACTTTACCCCCATACAAACACCGCAATTTTATAACATATACCTAGCGTGTTACCAACATTGAGCGTGGGTTACTTGTCGTTTTGTGGTGTGAATGGTTATTGCCAAGGTGGCGGATTGATCCCGAGAGCCAAACAATTAAAAAGGAAAGTTTTTAGGTCGGAAAGCAAAATTTCCACTATGTCAAACATCTTTTGTTAAGGGACAAACGAGTGTTTACAAGTTGCCAGAACAGCTGGTCAAACTTTAGATTCCACTAGCAAATCTTTGCTGGTCAGTTAAGTCTTTGGATAAAGATTTTTGCACCGACTTCTTTGGTGTTGGGATCAATCAGAAAATAGAAGTTGGACGCACGGTCAATTGTAATAAACATCATGTGTGGTTACAGGCTTTTCGTAATTACAGGGTTAACTGGGGTTAAGAAACACCACTTCAAGCTTACTTAAGAAACATAGAAACAAGTTAGATAAATAGAAATAATAACTTCCCTTAGTAGATGTATTCAGCTGTGGAATGGGAGAATAAACTTTTTCTGTAAACGAAGTTCGTTTATCTAAACCTGAAGATAGTTCTCACTTTCGGTACCAAACTTGAATCATAATCAGATTTCCTTATCTCATTAGAATTTTGTTGGGGCCACGCTACCTAACACCTTAACAACAACAATAACAATAATAATTTATTTAACCACGTTATCGACCTCTAAGAGCACAATTGCTTGTTCAAAATACGAACGTGCATTAGTATGTGTAATCAAATGGTGACGAGTGAAATTAGGGAATAATTTCACGCGTGTTTTGTTCAAATCCTTCTAATTTCCGGAGCCTTTAGGCCAGGAAAATTATTAGGATTTGGACAAAACGCAAGTGAAATTATTCCCTAATTTCACGAGTATACCATTTACCATTGTTTATCCTGGATCGTATCGATCGAGAACTCCACTCTCTCGAACGTTTAGAGCTTAAATTTGGCTTAAGTTCAGAATTTTTTGACAAAATACCTGTTAGAATCCTTCTTTGTGTGCTCTTTCCGTGCGTTCAGGTTTTATAAAGCGCCTTTTTATGCCCTAGCATTTTCATTCATGACACTTTAAAGCTTCGTCGCCATCTTGACACTGAGACGTATGGAAGGTTGCCATGGCAATTTTGTAATTTCACATGTCAAATTACAAATTATCGCTGAAATTTCGCGCCAAAATTAAGGAGTAATTCGTCACCTATGATATTAAATCTGCAATTATACAATGTATTATTTTTGCAGGCAGTTTGCCTGATGTTTCTTATTACGTCGTTTGAGATCTTGATCCTCCTCCACGGCCTGAGGGGCGAATGTTATCGAGTCAAGGCTTATAATGAGGAAGCATACCAATGAATTAATGTAAAGATTTAGCCAGGGCTAAAAGCTAAGCTGCCATTAATAAATTTATAATTTTAATCACACAATAAACTTGTAATCCACAAATCAGTTAACTTAAGGGCACATTCATGTGACTTTTGTGGGAAAGGGTAACCGATTTTAGAGTGAAACATCTTTCATCGAGTTGATAGCCTTATATCACTAGTGTACACCCCAAAAATAGCAATCATCTTCGATCACATTCAAGAGCCAGTGCTTGAATAATAAAAAAGGGGATCCTTTAACTACACGTTTCGTATGCTACTACATACGTCTTCTGAAGCAACCTTTAAATGAAGTATCGGCATTCAAGTGAAAGAAAGATGAGGAACTATTTAATGCGAATGAAACAAAGCTACTAATGATCGAATGTTCTGTCGTGAATTGTAATAACAGTTGTCGAGAATTGTAATAACCAAGCTATTGTAAATTGTAATGACACGTTTTCGTAAATTGTAATAACCCGAGCTGTCGTGAATTGTAATAACACATTGTCGTGTTTCGTAATAAGTGTTGCAAATGAACAATTATTCACCAAGAACTCCTTTGGATAACCAGGATTGTTCTGTTCGACAGGAACCCAACAATGCAGCTCATTATGAGCTCATTGCTCAATAGGCCACTTCCAAGTTCCAAAAACCGTAGCTTTCAAAACGAAGCGAAGAGCAAAAATTTTTGTGATAGTGAGTTTCACCTTCATAAGAATAAAAAAATCATTTTCATATCACTTGCTTTGCACTTAGAAGAGCTTTGAAACAAAGGCTTGGGGAAACTCTGAAATGGCCTAGCCATTCAACCGTGACAGGGTAACAAGAGTTTCTTTTTCCCATAAAATTTCAACACTATGCCAGTCGTTTGCTTTTTTTGTTGACTTTTTGAGGTACGAGTTCAGTTTAGTTCTTTAACCTTTAACTGGATGTATCTTCTTCCGATGAATAAATCAGCGTCTTTTTTATCTTCTCGAACAATCCGATTTAAACTCACTACAGCTACAGCTAATTATAGCTTCGCGCAAAATACACAAATGATACATAAGACGGACGGACACTTTGTCTTACACAAAAACTCTAACACGTCTTTACACTTAACAGCTCTTGACTAATAGTTCAAGCAATCGAATTAACTAATTAATTAATTACAAAAGGTGACACTGTAATACGTCGCGTTTTGAAGTTTCTTTTTCTTTTTTTTTTCAAAAGGAAATTGGTGAGCACTGAGCAACATATCACAGTGGCGCCTTGTTCTTGCCTATATACTCTAGTCTTGTTTTAATTTAGTTACCGCGGGGACTACGGAACACCAGAGTACAGGGACTTTTCCGTGTTGATTACTGATAATTCATACGCTTCTTTGTAAAATGACGTCATCAGTGAAATAATAAATGTGTTGAAGAAATACTTTATTGCGTATTCTTTCTTGCTAGTTGATCATCTTGTTTGTCGCGACTTTTGTTATCACAATAAAAAAATGACAAAAGTCAGACAAACATTTCAAATTAGTCTTACTGACGTCAATTATGCCGTTAGCGTGTGCAATTTGTGCTGTTCGAACTGTCTCTAACCCCCCCGCCTCCTCTAATTTTTCTAATGGCCCCGATGATCAATATGTGGTGGAAGTAACAAGCATTTGCTCGCAGTAAGTTGGTTGGTTGACTGTTTCGAATGCGTCAGTTCATTCAGTAAGGGGGGAAGGGGTGTGAGGGGAAACGGAGTGGGGTGGGAGTGGGCGCTTATTTGAGTTTGAGTGGGAGGGAGGTGGGTAGTAGTTATAGGAGGATGCTTTCTGACGCAATTCCCAAGATAATCTTTCCTGGTTATTCCTGTCATTGTCTCTGTCATCCGTCATTAAAATTTCCCTGTTTAATCTCTGTCACTTTCTTTGTACTCTTCCACCCCAAATTCACTGAAGCCAAATTTTTTATTTGACTATTTTCAAGTCTTTCCATGATACTCTTCTGTCAAATGACGTAAAAGTCAACTAAATTTCTGATTATTTCTATCATCTTTGTTACTCAAATAACATTAAACTGGGAAATGTTAACGAAGTGGACAAATATAATGGCTCGCTCGCTCGCTCGCGGAATAACCAGGAAAGAGTATCTTCGGAATTGCGTCAGAAATCATCCTCCTATATCTACTAAAAGGTAATTAAATCAGAAATCAGGGAAATCCCCATTTGCTGAATTTTTGATGTGTTGTGTGTGAATGTGTAATTGGAGGATTTCCCACAAATGTGAATTTGTAAAATTGTATTTCAGTTTAAAGATATCTAAACAAATATAAAATATGCAACTCACAACTTATCACAATCTAACCCCTAACAACATTATCTTCAATAATGCAAAAGAGTACCAAGTAAAAGATTCGAAACTTAAAAACGCATCAAAATTGAAACAGTTTACCCAAATGGTAAGAAAGGTGATCTAGTAATCAAAACTCCATTTCTTTTCTCTTTTGGCGTAAACGAGAAATTAAACCAAGAAACAGGTAAGTTAATCGGATATAGCATTCCGGTTTGCTTGTGGGAAAGAGATAGTGAGCCGAGTATTGATCAAAGAGATTTTTATGAATTTATATGCAAATTTACAGACGTCTGTAGAAAATATCTTGTAGAGGAATACGGTGCAGAT